TTTACATTTAAATGTCAAAGCAAAGGTAAACATTGTGAATTTTCTCATGCTTCCATGGAGACCATTTATTACTATTTAATTTCTGACAACAGCTGGAGTTTCATAACAATTTTTGCTTCCCATGTTAATCTTATGGAGAAATATGAACCTTTAAAGGGCCCTAGGGCCTAACTCTCTAATTATTTCCCTAAAAAGAAAGTTTCCTGCACAACTTCAAGTTAAGCTCTTTCCAATGACACCGAAAACATGTCAATTGGTTCAGTAGCTTCGGAGGAGTAATTGTCACAAAAAACCTGCTTGCGTATTAAATAAGTACTAGAGGTCGTCCAGTGGTCGAAAACTCAACCAAAAATATGCAAATGAAATAAAATGAAAAAAATTAAAATTATATGAAATGAAAAATTATATATTTATTCAGGCAAAGTTAGGGCCACATGGCCGTTTCTTACACTAAGTAATGTACAGTGTTAACCCCACACTGTAAATAAAACATGTGATAGGAATTTGTTTTGATTTTCTGTTTATATTTTGTTGTTATTTCGTCACCAACATGGCAACCCATAACTCCCATGTTATTTTTTTTAAGTTTTCAAATTCATTTTTTGTTCTTATTTTTGAGCCTATTTTAATTTATAAAGGGATTCTGCACATCTACAGGAAAATATCTTTCCAACAGTATGCGTAGATTTTCCCTGCGATGCACTCGAGCTGAGAAAAAAGGTTTTAACCCTAGATCTGGCGGTCATTTTATTCACCAGTGGCGGGCATATTTTGGCGCTTTTGTAGTGGTATCATATATTTTGCCACAGAACATTTATTTGTAATATAAATAAACACACACATATATATATATTCTATTTCAGTGATGAATTTAGAATATAATAATATAAAAATATTCTTTTCCTAGCAATGCGTTTAGGCGTAGTAGCAAAAGGTTTGCAAATTTTTTGATTATGCAAATTAGAAATTTCAAAAGCAACCCACAAGAAAACCACAAAATAATTTGTTTACACATTTTATCTAAATGTAAAGTTTGTGTGAAATATGATTCCCTACGTAGGAATATCAATGTTTTTTGAATGCTCATAAAAATAAAATTATAAAAAAATAAATTCTTCATACATATTTTCTTTTTTGAAAAACTACCAAATTTCTTTTTGTCACGTTGGAAATAATAGAATGCATCAACAAAAAATGTAATGATACTGTACAATAGGTAATAAAAAGATCTTTCTGAAAATATATAGTTATATTTAGTTAAATTCTAAAATGTCAGAAAAATTTACGTCGGAATGTAAAATTTTGAAGATTTTTTTACAAAAACATAATATTTATGAACATTTTCATAAACAAATAAAATTTTTACAATCAACCTTATAGATTCACAGGGAATTGTAGGGAATTTATTGTAGTTTCAGAATATGTACTAATATTGTATACAATTTAATTGACAATCACCAAAAACAGCTGTTTTTGTAGTCAGGTGACCAAAACTTTCCACCGCCAAAATCTATTTTGAACTCTCTAGTTTTTCAAACTACCGTTTCTCGCTACATAATACTCACTCAATAATGTTTTATGCATGAAAATGAATCCTCAGAATCTCATCTTTTTAATGGTATACGTTTTGTAGCGTTTTAACACGTTCGCTACCACAATTATATGGAATTTACGTTCGCATAGACCAGCGACGCAATTGTGCGTCGACTCGTTTCTCACAATAGACCACCGACGCATATTTGCGTCAGCTGGTCACATTGAAATAGACTAACGACGCACATTTGCGTCGGTGCTCTAATGTTATTAATCTGCGTATTTCTTAGCAACGGTCTATTTTAAAGCCCTGATTTTATCGTATCGGTCTAGAGGGATATCTGCCGCAAATGTGCGTCGCTTGGTCTGTGGATATGACGATTGGTTACGTCACACAACAGTTGGCAACATTGTGTATTCCGCGACATCACAGAACAGATTTTACATCTCTAACCTCTGCAGTTTTGGCTAGTGTTTAGTGGAGTTTCTTTATTTGTTTGTGTAAAAGCTTGATCATGAAACGCAATAGGCCTACTAGGCCTAAAAACCCATCTTTTTTATATACTGATAGTGAAATTGATCGCATGATCAGTAACGAAAGTGATAGTGATTCTGAACTAAGTTCATTGTTTTCTTCCGATGGAGCCACTGAATATATCCCAACTTCGGATAGCGATGATTCTTCATCTTGTGAACAAGACTACCACGAACTACAAGAAGACATGGCGATAGATGCAGCTTGTGAGTCGTCTACTGTCGAACAGAATATGGACGAGGTATTTGAACATTTCAATAATGAAGTTGAAATCGGGGTCGTCAATGGAAATATGGATGTTTTTCAGGAACTAGAGATTCCTTTTACTGTTGAACAAAATAATGATGGGGAACCTGAAAATGAAATCAATGGGGTTAACCTTGAAAACAACGACCAGAACAGTGAATTACCCTATTTATGTAGATACTAATGTAGAGTTTGTTGTTAATTCTATCCACAATCATTACGAGGCTGTTGAAGGGTTATGGAAGGACACAAATAATGCGCCACAGCAGTTTGAGTTTACTGGCCAAGAGAAAGTAAACATAGAAACAACAGATCCAATTGCCATATTTAGCTCTATTTTTGACGACGCCCTCATGGATAAGATCGTGGCATGGACTAACAAAAGAGCTTACATCTCGAGGGGAACCCCTGCCAAAATATGCAGCACTGAACAGATGGACTGATGTTACCAGAGAAGAACTAAAAAAGTTCTTAGGCCTAACCATACTTATGGGTAATGTAGACATCCCCACATTAAAACACTATTGGTCGAAAGATCCACTGTATGAACACCCGATATTCGGCAGTACAATGGCTCGCAACAGATATGAGAGTATTTTACAGTGTTTATGTTTTTATGATCGGGATACAGATCCCACCAACCACAAAATGCACAAAATGCACAAAATTGATCAGGTACTAAATCATGTTTTGGAAAACTGTAACAAAGTTTACAGTCCTGGGAAAAACTTATCCCTTGACGAAGCAATGGTCTTGTTTCGCGGACGCCTATCGTTTCGCCAGTACATAAAAAACAAAGCCCACAAGTACGGAATAAAGCTTTATGAACTTTGCACTTCCGACGGCTATATTCTCAATATAATTATTTATCAAGGGAAAGGCACACTGACAAACGAAGAGAAGGGTCACACCTATCAAGTTGTAATGAAGCTCATGGAAAACTACTTACACAAAGGCCATGCTGTGTTTTTGGACCATTTTTATAATAGTGTTGATTTGGCTGAAACCCTTTTGGAGCACCAAACGAACATGTGCGGGACCCTGCAGGCTGACAGGTCTGGTAATCCGCAGGTTGTGGTGCAGGCCAAGCTGAAGAAGGGAGAGAGAGTATATTAGTCGACAAAAGGGTGACGTGACAGTAATGAAGTGGAGAGGCAAGAGAAACGTGCTAACCATTTCCACAACAAATGGTCCAGAGATGGAGAATGTCACAAACAGAAGAGGCGTGGTGATAAAGAAGCCATCAATGATTGTAGCCTATAATAAAGGTATGAGTGGCATTGACAGAAGCGACCAGTGATCTTATTACTCAACTCCACGCAAGTCCCTTCGCTGGTACGTGAAGATATTTCTCCATTTGTTGGACGTATCACTTTGGAATAGTGTTAATCTCTTTTCTAAGCTTAACGGAAAGATGACATACCTTAGCTACAGGGACATCATTATTAAACACTTCCTTCAAGTGGAGCCAGTAAAACGTCCTCTTCGCACTAGCATCTCATCAGCAGTGTCCCAACATTTGCCTATTAAATTGGAAAAAAGAGTAAGGTGCTGTGTTTGCAGGTCAAAACATAGCAAGAGGACCGATACATTTTACATCTGCAACGTTTGTAAAGACCCTAAGGAGAAGGCGTTGGGATTCTGCATCTCTCCATGTTTTAGGGAACACCACGGCAACTAAACCAAACCACTGATGGCAAGAAAAGACATTTTTATGTGAGTTTATTAGAATAGAAATCCAAGACATTTTTATGTGAGTTTATTAGCAATACAAGACATTTTTATGTGAGTTTATTAGCAATACAAGACATTTTTTATGTGAGTTTTTTTTAGAAAGACAAGACATTTTAGGTAAGTTTAGTAGCTCAAAGTTGTATATGTATGACATCTATATCAGTAATGATGTAATTTTTGTACCAAATGCAAGTTTTATACCAAAACAATTTTTATTTGTTCAAACTTTTCCTTCAAACAACCAAATTTACAACGACGCTTACGTGCGTCGCCTGGTCTATTGTAACGAAAATGTAATCTTTTTGACTGGATTTCATTAAATAGACTGACCGACGCATATATGCGTCGTTTTAAAATTTGCTCAAAACGATAAATAAAAACAATATTCATTGCTTACTAATTCACTTATGGTTAATATAAAGTCAATTAGTCCATTTATACGATATTTCTCTTTTGGTCTGTCGGCAATGTTATTCCTATATCACTTGGTCTGTAAGCAACGTCATGATCATTCCTTTTGGTCTGTAGAAGTGACCGGACCGACGCATATGTGCGTCGCTCGGTAGCGAACGTGTTAAACCTGTTTTATGGCTACAATTTGTCATTTTCGCGCACATGTTGCATTGGTCCTTTTAGGGACCATGCCAGTTCACAGTTGAAAAATTGAGGTCCAAAAATGGACCAACGCCAGATCTAGGGTTAAAGAAACACGCATGCCTATTAATAAATAGATAGATAGATGCAAACATATTTCATTTATATTTTATTTAGCATAGAATCAGCCATGAGGAAACGTATTATTGTAAAAATTTATAATTTTATATCTATAAAGTGATAAAATATCTATTTTATTACAGTCCATTATCTGGAATTTGTAAATAAATAAATAGAAAACAATAATAAATAAAAAATATGTATATCATGAATATTTTTGTTGTGTATTTGCCGACAGGGCCAGTGCTGCTGTGCCGGTTCTCGTACTTTTATCCATGAGAGTATCTACGACCAATTTGTTGAGAAGAGTGCAGCATTCGCCAAGCAGCGAAAAGTGTGCAATCCATTCCTGCCAGAGAGTGAACAGGGACCAGTAGTGAGTTAAATTAGGAAATTAGAAAAACATTATTTATTTTAAAAAGTACATAGATTTAAAGTCCAGTAGCTCATTTCATTAATTTGATTACTTTTATTCATTAGGATGAATCAATTGTCTAAAATTGATTCAAAATCCATCTGAATGTAGCATATTTGAATTTCTATAGAGGCATCGTGGTGAGGCCAAAAACCTTCCGAGGTTTCAATAAGGAGGTAAGGAAAGGTAAGACTTCCATCCAACATGCTTACTTACCCTTTTTTGTATTTCAAGTATTTTTGATGATTCATCAGATTTTTTTGCAGTATGTTTGTTACTATTAACAATTTAATGATAAAAAGCGTTTTTGAAATAATTTATATAAACCTAGAGCCCTTAACAAAAAATACCCATCCCCTCAAGACTATTGAAACTTTGAAACTGATTTTCAGATTGATGGGGAACAACATGGCAAGATTCTAGAACTGATAGAGAGTGGAAAGAAGGAAGGGGCTCGACTGGTTGCTGGGGGCAGTAAGACTGGAGACAAGGGCTTCTTTATTCAACCTACAGTGTTTGCTGATGTCACAGACAACATGCGAATTGCCAAGGAAGAGGTCAGTGTAGATATGTGTCAATACCAAAATTGTTTAATTCTTGATACCCAATACCTATGAATCAAATCAATTCTCTATTTTTGGTGCCAATACAATTTTTTTTTAATTTTACTTGTTTTTTTATTTTTTTACTATTTTTATACGGATTGGTTTAAGCTTAGCCTTTACTACACCAATAGCCTATAATGAAATGAAATGAAATGAAACCAGTGCTTGATTTTCATTAAAACAATCCATTACAAAAGAATAAGATTTTTTCCATAAATAACTCTCAATATACAAATAAAATATCTACATACGCTTGAAATGCTCCCTATTTTCCATATTCCCTGCAACACCAGGGTTGTCAGCGACCGGGAATTCTGGGAAAATCGGTAATTATGTGTGAATTTTAACCGCAGTGAACAAACCGGGAAATATGCGTGAAAATGGTATTATTCGGGGATTTTACGTGAATTTAAACTATTATCATTATGTTCGTTTATTTTTGAGGAATTTTATAGTAAATGTATATTTACGGAACATTCAAATTAGAAATTATAGAAATTAACCAGATTCGAGAATCGAATCTCGGGTCTGCCGAGAGAATACACCGACTCGCCGCCAGCTCTAGGCTATAACATGAAGCGTGTAGCAGGGTAGCAGCAGTGTCAATCTACGCATAGCTGGAACAAAGCCAAATCCGTCCTCAAAACTCAAGGTCATGGCTTGAATTACGTCCTAGTCGAATATTAATTGTATTTTAAATAGGGATGGCCGATAACAGCATTTCTCGATTCTATACCAGTTGCTGATACCGATTCCATATCCATGTGAAAACTCATATTTTTAAGGTAGGGATGGACGGGATTGAGTTTTTAGTTCGGGACGGGACTGGACGTGATTTTTATTTCCTTCCCGGTTTTCGGGACGGGATTTTTTCCTGTGCATAAAAATAAAGTCTTGAATATTGCAGTTACCAAAAACGACAAACAAAATCAATTTTTACAATTTGTGGCACCTATCTATAAAAACAAAAAATGGGTAAAAATTTACAGGTATAGAAACTTGTGACTCGCGGTCATGGTGCGATCGTCGGTTTGACTCGCGGTCACGGTGGGATCGTCAAAATGACTCGCGATCAAGGGGTGATCGTCGGTATGATTCCGCGGTCACGGCGCGATTGTCGGTATGACTCCGCGGCCACGGGGTGATCGTCGGTATGACTTCGCGGTCACGGCGCGATTGTCGGTATGACTCCGCGGTCACGGGGCAATTGTCGGTATGACTCCGCTGTCACGGCGCGATTGTCGGTATGACTTCGCTGTCACGGGGTGAACGTCGGTATGACTCTGTGGTCACGAGGTGAACGTCGGTATGACTCCGCGTGCACAATGTTAAACTCATTAATATTAATTTTTAACCTTAATATGCAGTGTTTGTGGAGTGAATATTAAGAGTTAATTTGCCTTAAGGGCTAATAAACGTATGTGGGTTTTTAATTACAGTAGACTTTCTATTTCGGCCACCTCGGGACCGACCACTGGACGGACTACAAAACAGCCGGACTAACCGGATGTAGTAGAACCTCAATTATCCGGGGTAAGGGGGGGGACCACTGATAACTTGAAACCATGTAGTTAATCAAACATTGCATAAACATATATTACAATTACATACCCATAAAACACCTTATACTGTATAAAATGGACGTTAATGTGATCTATACTTATTTAATACGCAAGCAGGATTTTTGTGACAATTACTCCTCCGAGACTACTGAACCGATTGACATGTTTTTGGTGTCATTGGAAAGAGCGTAACTTGAAGTTGTGCAGGAAACTTTCTTTTTAGGGAAATAATTAGAGAGTGAGGCCCTGGGGCCCTTTAAAGTTTCGTATTTCTCCATAAGTATAACATGGGAGATAATTTTTATTTACAGAAACATATGTTTGTTTCTTGAAAATAGTCAAAGTCTACTCTACATAATAATTGGTGAGTATTATGACTGTTAATGTATATTACATTTCAATCTAGGATTGTGTACCTTAAAGCTTACTCATAATGGATCTTACTACTTTATTTTAATGCTGGGAATGGTAAAATTCAGTTGAGAATAAGTTACCATGAATTAGAAAACTTTAATATAATAATTTATGTATTTAAAATCACAAATCTTTGACGATATTAATTCATTTGAAACTAAACAGCTGATCAACAAATCAAACAAATCATCTACTTCATGTGAATAATATTGTTACACAAACATAATTTTTGTTAACCAATAACTTGATTCTTTTTTACTTGTGGGTGTATTTTGAGTTTGCAGTTATGATAGCACTAAGCCAAGTAACTTTTATCTCATTTTCTTTATAAACTAACAGTATTAATGAATTATAATTTAGAAGAAAACCCACAGGAATGGTCAGATTTTTGCTATTTCGTTAACAAGTGGCGCGCCATCGTACCTCAAGGTGAATAACTTGGATTTTATGTTATGGACCCAACACTAACAACATATCCAAAAATATAACTACCCGACCTTTTGCACAGCAATCCCCTATTTTTTTGTCATATTTACTGGACTAATAATATGAGTAACAATTGCCTAAAAAGTATTATTTCTAGTATTTCAGTACCCTTGGCCATATTGCATAAATTTTTCATTGATCGAGGGAGTCTTTCCAGCAGTTATAAAAATCCAGGATATGCTCAGTTCATAAGAAGGGCCCAAGGAACAAACCTTAATAAAGCTACCGCTACCGCCCAATTTCAATAATTCCAGTAATTTCAAAAAATGTATGAAATTATAGTTCAAGGTCAAATCTATTCCTTTTTTGAAGATGATAAAATGTTCAATCATTGTCAATTCGGGTTTTGAAAGGACAAATCAACAGTCCAAGCTGTAGACAAACTAGTTCGTGAAATTATTTATTCTTTTGAGACCAAGTCATATCCACCCAAGGGACCCAGGCCACCTTCTGTGATCTTAGCAAAGCATTTGACTGTGTTGATCCAAATGACCTAATAAAAAAATTAAATTACTATGGAATTACAGGCTCTGCTCTAAAGTTAAATAAAATCTTACTTATCTAATCGAAGACAAAGGGTTTACACTAATGGTTTCTGATCTCAAGAAATATCAATAAATGTGGGTGTGCCCCAGGGTCAGGTTCTGGGCCCACTTTTGTTTTTAATATGCATTAATGATCTCCCAAATTCAGTTAATTCCTCAAGTATTCTTTATGTAGATGATACAACCTTTTCCCACAGTAATAAGTTAATGATTTTTAAAAGCAAAAATTTATTATAAAAAAAAATCCCTCACCACATCATCTGACTGGTTCAAAGCAAATGGGTTTCTTTTAAATGAAAATAAAACAGAATGTTGTTTTTAGCCTAAGACCCCTCCCTAATAGCGGGACTGATATCTAATTCGGTGAAATTTGTATGAATAAAAATAGACAGTACTCTTACTTGGGGGATCTCGCATTGATTATATAACACCAAAACTATCAAGAACAATCTTTCTCCTAAGACGCCTTGTTCATTGCTTGGAAACAAATTATGTAGAACTGCCTATATTTTGCCTACTTTCAATCAATAATTAGATATGGATTAATTCTCTGGGAAAACTGCAGCAGGGTGGATGCAATCTTAACTCTCCAAAAAGAGCCGTTAGGGTTATCATCACTGAATCTGAACTTGATGAACATTGTAAACCTCTTTTTGTTTCAATGAAAATTTCTACTAAGTTAATATTAATCTGTATATCTTTGATTTAACTGTATATGTAATAAATAACACCCAAATACTAAAATTCCATGAACACAAATATTACTAGAATAAAAATCCTACTTCCATTGAATACCACAGGCTCTCAAAATCGATTAACAGCCATGTTGTTATAGCTCCTAAGGTTTACAATAAACTCATTGGCCTTATCTCAAAATATGATGTCAAACAATTTAAGAGAAAGTTTTATAACTGGTTATTAATAGACCCACATTATTCACTTAATGAGCTTTTTTCTTGCCAAATTGCTTTCTAGATCGTTCTACATACATTTAAATACAAATCCCCACACTCTATAAGTATTAATTAATAGTTTCTAAATTATTCTTCATATTGAAATTATTCTTTAAAACTAATTCTCTCTTTTTAGCGAATTTCCCTATAGGGAAGTAGCTATTACCGTAGGTGGCACGGTAAGACCTAGACCCGGGACCTATTTACTTTTTCATTTTGATGTCCCCAGAGGCCAAAAACACTATTCGTTCAAATTTTTATATATGTATATATATATATATACAGGGTGACAAAAAAGTCTGGAAACGGCTTAATATCTTTTTAACTAAATCCGTTAGAAAAGTCAAACTTTTCACATCAACTTACATGTATAAAAACTACTTTTTCCAAGCATTTTCATGTTTTTACCTCCACCAGGGGACGTCCCATGAGGAGTAGGTACATAATCTTTAATGTAAGCATAGGTTGATATACACATCATTTTTAAGGTCTGGTCAAGTGGAGTTCATTGCCGGAAACCGCATCTCAAAAGGTCCATTCGTTACAAAATGGCGGCATTTCAAAGTTCTTGTGGAATATACCTTTACAGGCCTTAATATTGGTAAATACTCGTATTAAACATTATCTTGAGAGCAGAAACTGTATTTTAAAGTCAACTAGCCCATATACTACGTTTATTCAATCTTCAAAACAAATTTAACCGGGTTTCAGATTTCCCGGCTAATTTTGACTATGAGTATTTACCATTACTAAGGCCTGTGCAGGTATATTCCGCAAGAACTTTGAAATGCTGCCATTTTGTAACGAATGAACCTTTTTTGACGCGGTTTCCGGCAATGAACTCCACTACACCAGACCTTTAAAATGATGTGCATATCAACCTATGCTTACATTAAAGATTATGTACCTACTCCTCATGGGCCGTCCCCTGGTGAAGGTAAAAAAATGGTAATACTTGCAAAAAGTAGTTTTCATGCATATAAGTTGATGTGAAAGGTTTGAATTTTCTAACGAATTTAGTTAAAAAGATATCAAGCCGTTTCCAGACTTTTTTGTCACCCTGTATATAGACTTATATATATATATATAGACTTATATATATATATAGACTTATATATATATATATATATATATATACGTCCGTGAACGCGATAACTTGAGTAATTTTTGTCCGATTTTGATGAAATTTGGTTTAAAGGTGTAAAGCGGGATAAACTTGAATGAGTTCGCGAACCAGCACGATCGGACCATGGGAACGGGGCTTTACGGGGGGTTTTATGGGGTAAAAACTGGTTTTTCTCACTTTTGACCCTCAAAACACAAAATTTCCCGATTTCTCTTTAGACCTTTTTAAAGAGCTTAAAAAAACAAATAATTTAGTATATAAAAGTATTTTTGTTCAATTATTAGTAACGGAGAAAATAAAAAAAAAATTAAATTTAAAATTCCCATGTTATTCTTATGGAGAATATTGTCAAATGTTGTAGTTTGCTTGTTTATGGATATATTTTGATCAAACTTGGCAAATTTATTTATTTTGTACTAAGCTACCAATATTTTACTCAAAAACACACTTTATTAGTTTCCTTGTAGCAGCAAACCTAGGTGCTCGTTAAACCTAATGTTATTAAAATATATTTAACTGAAAATCAATTCAGACAAATGGAAATTCGCTTAGTCGGCAGGTTTGCTGCGGCGGGGGTATTTTTAAGATATGATGTCATCAGTAATTATTTTCTATTTTATCTGTTATTGATGTTCCAGGCCAGCTTAAAGGAGAAATTATTTGTTTAACTATTTTGTTCTATATGTTATACAATTTAAGTTTAATTTTATATTTACATCTACTTTTGCTTCATGACAATTTGTAAAATGCAATCTGACCTATCCTATTGTACTTTATTGTACCGAATGGAAATAAATATATTTTATTTGATTTTATCAGAACAGAGACACAACTGTATGTAAGGAAAAAATAGAACAATTAATATGAGGAATGTATTGCAGATATTTGGACCAGTCCAGCAGTTGCTGAAGTTCAAGACTATTGATGAAGTGATAGAGAGAGCCAACAACACTCAGTATGGACTAGCAGCAGCTGTGTATTCAAAGAACATAGACACTGTCAACACTATCGTACAGTCTGTTAAAGCTGGAACAGTCTGGTGAGTTGTCATGCTAAGGGGGTTTTGTGGCTCAAAAATATATATCTTATCTATTTTATCTACTAGAGGTCGTCCAGTGGTCGAAAACCCGACCAAAAATATCTAGTGTACAGATTTCTCTATTTTCACCCCACACTGTAAACAAAACATGTGATTGAAATTTCTTCCATTTGTTTTGATTTTCTGTATATATTTTGTTGTTACTGTATTTCGCTAACAGCATGGCAACTAGGGGTGTGCGATGCAGCATATTTTTTTCGATTCGATGCATCGATGCGATTCAAAGAATTTCGATTCGAATCGATTCGATTCGATTCGGTGCAGCACGGCATGATTTTCTTCAAAAATTAAATACAACATGTGTTTCTGTAATGGATCCTTTACCTTAAAAAAAGTTAAAGTAAAAAATGTACTAAATAAAATTATGAACAAGAGGATAGTTGCTGACCTAACCTCATTAATGGACACTGCTAATTTTATGGTTGGCCTAAGGAAATTCACCCTTCACTAACAATTAGAATAAGCCTATATATCAATAAAGCAATCGTTAAGTTTATTATTATTGACCTGTATTAAATAAAATGGAGTTTATTTTATGACGTACGGTAGTATTGTTACTTAGTTTTCACATTTATATTTGTTGGCTTTCAATACTTCTGGTTCATTCTTAAATCAGCACGAACCAAAAAAGTTGATTATCAATGTTTACTGTCTATTTTAGTGATGGTCGGATCTGGATATCGGACTACCGGATCCGCCGGATCTGAGCTAGAACCGACGCCCGATCGTATCCACAAAAAATCGGATCTTGGGCTGGATCCGGTTTTAATGGATCCAATTTTATTTATACTATTAACACAAAATGGACGAGTATTCGAGATTTTGAGTTTGAGTAAAGTACAATATAGAAATAAGCAAGAGGTAGTTGTCCTAACCTATTTTTATAGCTATCACGACAGAATAGGTCAACTCAAAGCAGTCGCCGGCGACTGACTGGCAATGGCAATGGTATACTGACTTGACACAGAATAGAATGACATGACCGGTAGTGATTTTGTTTTAAAGTAGGCCTACTGTTTCACAATAGAAAATTTCACTACTGAACTACGTAAGCAATAAATTTATGTTTATAAAAGTCAGAATAGAAACACTATAAAGGCAAAACAATAGACGGGAGGCAGGCGTTGTGCAATGACCTTGAAATGAGCGGAATAGTAACGCTGAGTAGGGGAAGGGAAGGGTGAGACCTTTGAGCTATATTTAGACTAGACTTTCACCACTTCCCAAATGGCTGGGTATGGGGATTACAATAGCAGGTTTTTTCCTTGCCTGGTTTGACTTTTGTCTTTTTGTGTAGGAGATTTGAATAATCAAAAATATAATTTGAATTGACCACAATTGTTTAGCATTGATGATACAATTTGCAAGGGACCAGGAGGAAATAGAACAAAACACTAAAATTAATAGAATAACAAACAAAGTAAACAACAAATTAAATACAGAACACGGTGATTTAACACTGTCACTGTCACTCAATTTTGTTGTCTAGAAGGGTCGGTGAACTAATCAATAAATAGCCAAAACCAGTTTCCTCCCCCTCTAACCACCACCCCTCCCCCCTAAGCCGGGAGGCCCAACACTTTGTCCTTGAAACACTCTAGCCTCTGAAACAATAAACCCTTACACCTGCTGCTGTTTTGACAACAGGTTTATGAATGCGTTCACTATTTTTCATTTTCCAGAATTAACTATCAATTATTATTATTTGCAAGTTACAAATAGGAAACTACATGACATTATGGTACCTATTCAATGACCCATGTATTATCAAAAATTTATAATTGATTACTTATTTTGATAATAAAAAGCATTCATTACAGCACGCAGCACTTATTGATATATATATATATATTTAAATATATATATATACTGTATATATAATCATCAAAGTATCTGTTACTTTATACAAAATAAAATAGGTACAAAATTGTGTGGCCAGTCAAAATTTATAAACAAACATTTTATTCTATAAAATACAGATGGTAAATAGGGGTTGGTTTAAAGGAAATAAAATACAAAACAGATTAATTAATTATTTTGATAAACGATAGAAAGGTTATGGAATTGATTGAACTAAAATAACCACAGGGAATCTTAAGTAGAAAAGTCGTCAACCACAATCTGTTTAATCAGTACATCGTTAGAGAGAGAGCGGGGGGAGAGAGAGATAGCAGATAGGGGCGTTTGATAGGGAATCTGAAAAAGTAAACAAACAAGGAACAACGACGCGACAATACTCGTTTATAACCTTATTGTCAAATCTAGGTCTTTGTAAGACAAAAGAAAATCACACCGTTTTAAACTTTAACCTAATTTTATACTCTTTACAAACAAACACGTCCTACATAACGGTTCTTGATATTTATCAATGTATCTTAGCAATCGTCACTTGCTCCATTGAAACACGAACGTCGATTGGCTGACATGACAGTGCAGCGTGGCCTCTCGACCAATGAGAACTCCTGTTACATACTTTGATTTATCTTAGATGGTCAACATTTACCATTCATTATAATATTACAAAATCGACATGGACTATGCGTATGGTGCTTTTCAATCAAAACTTATGTTATAGTAGCACTTAAAACTTCACTTAAACTCTTAAACTAGGTAGATAGTACAGATATAATATGGATCTACTTTTTGGTGCAATAGGCAAGTGCAAGCCTAACCCTCTGACTTCGATGTTGTAATTGAATCGAATTTTTCTAATGATGCGTAATGCAGGGATGAAACTGAACATTTAGACAAGTTTAGGTTATTTATTTTGTTCTAAAAATAAAAATAATACATTTAAAGATCTGACTTATTGATACAGACATTTTTTTGTATAATTTCGTGTTGAGGACACTCGCGCGCCGGTTGTCTGAGACTGAATTCTGACTGTCTGACATCTTGAAATGTAGATTGTATTGTGTTGTGCAATATCATCTGCCTGCAGTGCAGAGAGAACAGCTGAAAATAAACTTTAGCTGTTTTGAACTAAATAGTGTGCTAAGTTGGTTACTAAAGTTGTTAGCGTGATTACAAAACTAATAGATATCAAATAAATAAATGTTAAAATAAAATATCTATCCATCCCTGTCGGCTGTCGGTATCGGCGGAATCGGGCGAAATCGATGTTTGGCAATCGATTCTTGTTACCGATATTCCTAGTATCGGCAATGTCCGAGTATCGGTGGTAGCGATAATTGACACTTCCCTATCTAAAACTCATTTTGGAGTCCTGAATTAGTTTTAAATATGCATCGGGACGTAATCGTTGCATCGGGAGCTAACCGATGCATCGGTCTTTTTCGATGCATCGAGGCCAAATCGATGCATCGTGATTTCGATGCATGCTGAATCGAATCGCGATTCGATGCATCGAATCGAATCGAATCGAAATTTCGATGCATTTTCGATGCATCGCACACCCCTAATGGCAACCCATAAGGCCCATGTTAATTTTTGTAATTTTTAACTTCATTTTTATGTTTATTTTTGAACCTATTTTAATTTATAAAGGGATTCTGCACATCTACAGGAAACTATCTATCTGTATGGGTAGATTTTCCCTGCGATGCACACGAGCTGAGAAAAAAGGTTTTAAAGAAACATGCTCTAATATAAAAATAGATTCTTGTTATTTGTATACAATTTTTGAAATCGTCTAACTTTTATATTTTTTTTAGAAAATAAATTTCACATTAATTTTTTTAGTCAATAGTGATGTCTTCTGTTAAAAATATCGGGTTTGTATTCTGATTAAATCAATGTTAAGCTTTGTTAGACGAGTCAGAAATTCCACTTTACCGGTACTTCAAAAGTTGAATATGTACTTATTTATTCAGAAATAAATTAAATTTATTCAATAATTGTTACATATTAAATGAAATAGGGATGGACGGGATTGAATTTTTGGTTCGGGACGGGACGGGACGGGATATTTATTTCCTTCCTGATTTTCAGGACGGGACGGGATATTTATTTCCTTCCTGATTTTCGGGACGGGACGGGACGGGATTTTTTTCTATGCATAAAAAGAAAGTCTTGAGTATTGCAGTTACGAAAAAAGACATAAGAAATCAATTTTTACCGATTGTGGCACTGATCTATAAAAACCAAAAAATGGGTAACAATTTACAGGTACCTATAGAAACTTGTGACTCGTGGTCGAAATGACTCGCGGTCACGGGGTGATCGTCGGTATGACTCGTGGTCACGGCATGATCTATGACTCACGGTCACGGGGTGATCATCGGTATGACTCGTGGTCACGGCATGATCTATGACTCACGGGGTGATCATCGGTATGACTTGTGGTCACGGCATGATCTATGACTCACGGTCACGGCGCGATCGTCGGTATGACTCCGCGGTCAAGGCGTGATTATCGGAATAACTCCGCGGTCACGGCGTGATCGTCGGTATGACTCGTGGTCACGGCATGATCTATGACTCACGGTCACGGGGTGATCATCGGTATGACTCGTGGTCACGGCATGATCTATGACTCACGGGGTGATCATCGGTATGACTTGTGGTCACGGCATGATCTATGACTCACGGTCACGGCGCGATCGTCGGTATGACTCCGCGGTCAAGGCGTGATTATCGGAATAACTCCACGGTCATGGCTTGATCGTCGGTATGACTCGTGATCACGGCACGATCGTCGGCATGACTCCGCGGTCATGGCGCAATCGTCGGTATGACTCCGCGGTCACGTCGTGATCGTCGGTATGACTCCGCGGTAGGGATGGACGGGTCCCGAAATTTCGGGAATTTTTTGGGAAAAAAATATTCCCGATTATCGGGACGGGATTACATTTGACTCGGGAATTTTTCGGGACGGGATTTGGTCCGATCGTCGGCGATTTTTCCGCTTCGCGAGTGCCGATAACGCCGTTATTGCGAGCGATAGGTCCGCGAACGCAGGAGACGAAGTCATTTCGACG